CTTTTAAATAGCTATATAGTGTACTTAGTTCGAGTTATCTATGTTTGCTTTTAATACTTGGGATCTAAATATTGTACGCTGTTCACTTTGGCTTCCTGATTTTCCAATCGTTCCTTTTTCTGTAAATTCCTAATTTAACCGTTAGACCTAAGTTCACTTGTTCGTACTTTAAACATAAACATATTCTCAAATCCTTGTAAATTGAAAGTGTTCAGTTTGCTATACTTTGATAATTTTCTTTATAATTGCGTAAGTTAAGCCTTTAGCCTTAAGAGTGTTGCTTAATATGGCCGCAACGTATAATTGTAGCCAGTGATGAAATAAAGTAAAAAAATAAACTTCTAATCACCACGCTGCCCTACCTTAGACTATGCTAAGCTCCAGCCCAACCATTTTTAGATGTTTGCTGGGCGTACTTTACGTTACGCCTTGGAAATTTCGGACATTTTAACAAATGGTCTGCCATCCAATACAACTTTTCACATTCTTTCCCTCCTCGGTCCCTAATACCTCTTTTTCTACAAATGCAAGTTTGTTGACAATAGAAAAATGCCTTATCCTTATTATGGAAACGTTAAAATCCTGACAACGGTCCTCCTGGGTTGCAAGCGAATGAAACTTTAAGCATTATGGTCAAAATGCAGTGCAAATTACATGGGGGCTTAGGAAAGGAACTGGACGATAATGACGGGAAGTCATCCGAGTGATGAACTCCTTTCCGTTTGATTTTTGTTTACTTCAAAATTCTATGCAATACAACTTTTGTTGTTTTAATCAGAATGAGATCAAGATGGCACTTGGTGGAGCTTTTCCTCAGTGTGCTGCACATAGGATACTGCCTTGGTAAAGGCGCATCACATTAAAGGCATCCACTTTGAAATAAGTGAATGAATGCTTTCGCGGAAATTTATTTAAAATTTCTCTTAAATGTTTCATCGAACTGCAAACAGAAAGACACCCAGCTAGTGTTTCTGTGAAGTCGCACACAACCATCTCCGTCTGGAGAAGTAAATAGGAGCGGCTTTAAAAATTGATAAAACGGAAGAATTTATGGTACATGCTGCTGACCGCAGACGCAATTTATCAAAGCAACAAGAATTTAATTTGCATATGCGATGCCTGCGAGAGGTTTTCTTTTATCGTTTTCGCATTATTATGTAAATATGCAAATGCATGCACAGGGAAAACTAAGCAATAGTATCCTGAAGTGGTTTTAAAATGATAAAAATTGCATCATCATGAGCTGCGAGAATATTATTATTACAGAGTAAGTTAAAGTTTGGTTCTGCCAACCAACCATTCGATGTAAGAATAATGTAACATTTTTAAATTTAACCTTTGGCGCGAGCATTACTTTCCATGTCAAAGAATCTTTCTTTCATTTGGCCAGCGATATGAGATCAGAAAAGTATAGCTATGTATATGTCTGTTTATATGAATAAAAGTCGACAAAAGCATATACAAGACACACTCGATGATACACACGAGAATAAAATAAAGCAAATATAGAAATAATATTCGATTATAGTCGGAACTTTTGTACCCAGCCATCACGTTTATCATAAACAAAGGCAGACATGTGTAGATCGTATGTGAGAAAGTGCATACTTTATGGGGCTCTCTACTGGTTGTTGCCGTTGCTTTGACAGGACGAATCCATCCTTCGATAACGAAGGTAACGAAAAAACATACCAAAATATTTATTAAAAGTACATAAGGAATGCAATTTTATTATAAAATATAGTTTGTGTAAAAATATTGGTTTTTTTAAATAAATTTATTGTCAAGTATTTACATTTATTCTAATAGCGAAGGGTACGCTCCCTACATATCCATGTCAATTATTTATTAAGCAATGCTCTGTCCTTGTAAGTTTATGTTTCTATAATTGCTCGTAAAGGCGAGTGAATAAGTGTGTAAAGGATTGAAGGATTGAGAAAATTCGTAACACCTTGTAACGGCGACAGTTTTCACTGCAACGTAATCGGCAAGAAAGTGACCTCTAAATTTCTTTCTTTCTTCTTTTTTAACCACTTACTCTCTAACTGTATTCGATTGCCCAATGAAGATGGGCGTGTCAAAAGTTAGTTGATTTATTTGTTTCGCTCTCGCGATAATATAATATATGATCGCAATCGAAAGTAAGAAATTTCTTATGAAACCTTATGATGAACGATGAACTAAACAATATGTTCAATAACGGGATACAACGGCGATCATAGAAAAGAAGAAAGAGTAGAAAACCATATCGTAAGGAAAATGAAATTTTTTTAAACCAACAAAACTTTCTAATGCCACATCTATGTTTCTCATAACTCTTTGTACTTATCCAGCAATAAGGACAAGAAGCGAGTAAATTGTAGAGCTTTTTGCTGTGCTGAGCTTTTAAGTGCTTTCCTCCTTTCGATTTAGAGTTACCAGAGTAATGTAACGCGTAAGATAAGCTCTGTTGGTAATAAGAACATTTATAAAAATTTCCAAAACGTTTTTTTTCTTTTTATTTGAACTCTTCAATCTAAAAGCGACGCAAGAAAACATCAGAGCAAGAACGTCCGAGTGCATCCGTCCGCCCATTCGTTTTGTTTTCTTTTCTTTAACCTAGGAGTTGCAATTTTTTTTACCTTAAAAGCGACACCAGAAAACATCAGAGCAAGACCGTCCGCCTTCCATCTGTCCGTCCGTCCGTGTTGTGTTCTTGTCTTTATCGCAATTTTTGCGATATTATCAGGAAATTTGGTGCACTGACGTGCTTTCGTTCAAGGGTGAACGCTCACACCGGAAAAATTTTGCAGTCTTTAAAATTCCTCCACAAATGACGCTGAGTAATGTATTTCGACATTCTAAGTCGGTATGAAACATTTAGTTTGGCTGGGTCAATTTTTCCAATCTCCTCTCCTATAACCGTTCCTATGAAAACTGAATCTTTGCGTTATAAGAAGGTATAAATTCCAATATTTGATTGCAAAAATTGGTTCACAATAGTAAACTGGTAAAGAAAAGCACTCTGCCAAACTTGGATCACGTAAGGATCCTCTGGGAATCATTTTTATATGCCAAAAAAAGGCTTCATTTTTAATACTTTATCATGAAAATTTATCCAATGTTTGTAACTTGACGTCAAAATTAAATTTGATTTAGCGTATATAAGATATGTCATGAATAGTAAGCCCTTCACAAAATGTTCTAATTTTTAATATATTGTGATGAAAATTGAACCACAGAAGCAATTTAGTAAAGATATTGATTGCATAGGCCCATACTGGAGCTGTCATGAAAAACAAGTTCTTGTAAGCAGAAAAAGAACCGCAACCTGAGAAATAATAATAAGATTTTTGGGAAATAAATTAAGTTTTCTAAATTGGGATTACGTCATGTGAGGTTCGGGGCATCAGTCAATACGCGGACTCTGAAGAAAATTATGACTTTGCGTCAAACTAGTGGCTAGTGTTTTGCCTTGGCCTACTATAACATTATTATTCGTTTTTGTTTCAGAGCAGTCACGTTATCCATCAATTTGTTAATGCAACGGCAGCCTTAGCCCACAGACGCTTATTATTTATACATATTACATATGTTTGAATAATAATTGCAAAGGCGGACGATATGGAGGAAGTGCACAAAAAATTTCAAATACAAATTCTCTCTACAACTCCCCAGCTATCGATCCAATATCAATAAATGACGGTCTTGCCAGTCGGTGACCACACCTAACGTCATTACAGTGCAACAAAAGCTCTTATATCACTGCATTCTATTTGAAATTAAGAAACAAGAAGCACAGTGCAGGTGAATTGTAAAGCAATCGTAATTTTTTGAAGAATTACTACTCAAATGATCGAAATGTGTGTTTTTGGTTTTGGTTCCTGAAGAACCCGATAGTAGGCATATGCAACGAAACATTTAAGTTCGAAGATCTACGAACTTTAAAATATTTCTTGTGAAAATGTTTTCAATAATTGCAACACACTATTGACTAACTCCCTGACTCCCCAAATCGGGAATATATTCGATTATTCTATTAAAAATTCAAAGTTTTTCTTAACAGATGGAGTGCGGAAATGTTTTTGAGGATATTGACGGATTGCTTTCTCATATTCTTTTCTATTTCGATTATGTTGTAAGTTATTTTTACAACCTTGTATAAAATGACAAATGCTATTTTGTTGTTTCAAATTTAGATCAAGTTAATATATATACATTTTTTTTGATATCCAAAATTGATTTCATTTTTATTTATTTTTTATTTTGCTTATGGATGATTTATTGTACATGATAATGATAATGCCCTAATATACCGGAACAAAAATTGCATTATTCAGGCGGCGTGTCGCTGCAAAAATGGTTATAAAAGGTATTATAATGTTATTAATATATATATAAATTTAGATTCTTGCAATGATAATGCAAACAAAAGCACAATAATTACTTAGGGCTTACGAAATATGAAGTGCCCCGGAAGCAAAAACAAAAATAAAATAATAATAAAAATAATTTTTATTTTGTATTGCTTTCGTGTTCGCTTATAGGTAGGTATACATATGTGTGTTTATATTTAGCTAATGAATATATAAAGGATCAAAAGTGTTTGTTTTTTCCAAATTACTCATGTGCTTCTTTCTGATGGCTTTTCTTGTCTTCCATTATGGCTTTTGTGCGTTCTATGTGCGTTTTTATTAAGTGTTCTTGCAATTATCGCCGATGGAAAATATTGATAAAATTCATTACACTTAATGACTATCAAGCCTTCGTTACTAGACTTTTCCTTTGCTCGCTAGAGTTTATTTAAGCGAGTTTTCCGCTGGAAAAGAATGCATTGTAGTAACAATTCAAGACAATTCGGTTCTGCATTGAATTGAATTAAGTAAACTAATAATAATTAAAAAATTCTTAACGTTTGGAATTTTTTTTTAATTTTTTCAAAAAAAAAAAAAGAAGAAAATAAAATAAAAAGAAATTAAATTCAATATAAATAAAAAAAAAATTGTAAACCTCTTAGCAAAATGAATTGCGATGAGATCTCTGAGATCAAAAAAACCTGGGAAATACCGGCGGCCTCGCCCACTGAATCCGGTGTAGCGATTTTAATACAATTTTTTACCAAATATCCGTCCAATTTAGAAAAATTTTCAACATTCAGAGACATGACATTAGAAGAATTGAAGGTAATAAATATACTAATAATAACAAATAATAACAAAAAATAATAATAATAATGAGGTAATATAAACAACAGAAATATAAGAACAATGACTACGACAATAAAAATAACAACAATAATAATTAGTAATAATAATAATAATAACAATAATAATAATAATAATAATGACAATAATAAGGCAAACACATATAGATACAATGAGAAATGAAATAAATCCTTAGATTAAAATAAGACAAATTCAGCACTAGCAACATAGACAATCGGCACAATGATAATAGTAATAATAATAAGAATATGTTTATTAATGAGAAATGTCCGTCTGTCACGCACGGGTCGCAACTTTTAAGGGATTTTGATGAAATGTGCTAACTTGACCTATTTTGGCCCCGAAACGAACTCTATTGAAAACGTCCCAATTTGGACCAATTTTTCGACTACTCCTCGCATAACGTGTAACAGGTATAAGGGACATCCTGAGAGTGATTGGTCATACAAAAAAAAAAAAAAAAAAAAAGAAAAAAGAAAAATGTTACTGTCTTACGTGCGTTTGATGTATTCTAGGAAAGTCCACGTTTGAAAGCTCATGCAAATCGAGTTATAAAAGTATTTGATGATTCCGTGCAAGTATTGGATGACGATTCTTCGCAACTAGAAGAAATATGGGTCAAAGTGACTCAGTCACATTTTAATCGTCAAATCGAGAAGCAATCTTTCAATGTAAGTAAATACTCGTGTAAAAGATTTAATATCAAAGTTTTATTCTTCTTCTTCTTCTTCTTTTTTTGCCAATTTCCAGGAATTGAAAGAAGTTATCTTAGAAGTATTGACTGCCGCCTGTAGTTTGAATGATCAACAAATCGAGATCTGGGTAAAATTAATGGATTTTATTTACGACATCATATTCAGAACTATAGATGAACTAGAGCAGGGAGCATAAAGGAATTAAAAGTGATTAAATGTAATATTTAAGCAGCATTTAGCGAACACAATGCAAGCTTGCGCATTAAAATAAAAGAATTACGACACATGCTACATACAATTATTGTCCTTTCATTTGGCGAAGGAACTCTTCGAAAATGTTAATAAGTGAATTTATCATCCATTTGGTTGAAATTCGATGCAAAATTAATTTTCGCTTATTAATTGAAAATAAATAATAATAAAAAACAAAAGAATTTGTTATAGAAGCGATAGCAATTAATACCGGGACAAGTGCAAAAAGTTATCGCTATTTAGGTCTACGCCGATATCTGTTAATTAGTCTTGGCAATGCTGCATTCTTCCGTGATATGGCTGTCTTCACTGACCCGAAATTGAGCTTCCATTTGCAAGTAAAGCTAAATCTATTCTGGTGGCTATTAAGCGTTGGACTGACAAGCTTTATGTTTTTTTTGAAAAAAAAATTACAGTATATTCATATACTAAACATCAATTTTTCCTCATTGCTTGGGATGTGTCCATTTATTGAATCCACTCTATGTAAATGGTGTTATGAAAAGCAACTAAAAGCATTACAGTCAGGCAAGGAAGTCGTTAAATACGTTACGCAATACAATAGATCAAAAATTATATCCTGTTCCAAATAGACCTATTTGGTCCAAATTTGGTGCAGTTAAGTTCAACATCAAATTGTAATCGCGGATCAACTGTCTTCATAGTAACTTAAAAAATCGATTTTTTTGGCATATGAAGGGTAATAAATACTTCATGAAAAAGATAATGGGGGCCAAAAATAAACTTACATAGTCTAAATTTACTAAGGTAACGTCTACGTCCGAATTACTATTATGGATAACTTCCCGCGACGGTTTATTGAAAATCCGTCCTCTTTGTCGTAAGAGTTCCTATGAAGCATTGATTTGATATATAAATTTATTGCGGTATACCTGGACTAGGTAGATCTATTTCTTGAGTTATCTCACATGTAAGGCTTCACCTGGGAAGTAATCCTTTAAAAGTATAATTTGTAATATTTTATCGCAAAGATAAATGAAGAGAATTTCTCTTTGCGGGACATGGTAAAAGGTATTTAACAATCCGGTTTTTTGGGGGTTAAGAAACACTTTTGCCCTGTTCCCTCGATTTATAGAGGGACGAGCGAAACGTCTCGTCATATTCTATGTGAATGCAAGGCCATCTGGCGTATCGGATACCAAGTGTCTGACGAACACTTCAGAACGCCAGACGCATTGATAAGATTTCCAAAATTGTAGAGCCAAAGACACACGCGAGTAAAATAGACTTTTAGATTACGGGACGGACTGCCCATATCATGATAGTAGTATCCGAGGATTAAAAATAGTTTTCTCAACACATTAGCCAGACGGCCTTACGTCCTAGACAAACGAAAAACAAAACGTTTTATATCTGGTAAAAGCTATGCTCGGACCTCCAGTCATTTTAGCTCTTGTAAGATGGCAGCTGATGGCTTTAGCCCTAGCTTCTGAGCGGCTGTTTACCCTGATCGGCTTAAGTTAAAAGATGATAATAAAAATGCTTTATTGTTGTTTAATTTTTTTCCTTTCATTTATTTTATCTTATATTTTATACAAATAACAAAAAATTTATTTTTATTCATTTTGTATTTATTTTTTAAGCTTTTGGTAAAACTACATCAAAATATAAAAAGGTGGGTTAATTGGTGATAAATATATATTCTGTGATTATTATTTTTTTTTTATTATTTTTTGTGTATTCAAGGTTTGAAACGCAAATTTCTCATCGATTTGCTACATTAATACATCGATATTGATGGGTAGAAGAGGAGTTAACATAAAGGACATGATATAACGTAAATCTTAAGATGTTCTTATTTAAGAAATGAAATATTTATATATTTTATTGCAAACTGCCATTGGTCTGTGAATGCTCCTTTAATATTCCATTTAATAAATCTTATCATTTCATTATACATCCTGCTCTAGTTGATCTATAGTCTTGAATATGATCTCATATACGAAATCCAATAGCTTCAACCAAATTTCGGTTTGTTGATCATTCAAATTGCAGGCAGCCACCAGTACTTCCAAAATGACTTCCTTCAACTCCTGCCAATTAGGTAAAAGTAACTTTCTTAAATCATCATTATTTACTTCTCTTAAGTCATTGTTTACTTACATTGAAAGATTGTTTCTCAATTTGACGATTGAAATGTGACTGAGCTATTTTGGTCCATATTTCTTCTAGATGCGAACAATTGTCGTCCAGCGTTTTTATGGAGTCATCAAATACTTTCATAATTCTATTGGCATGGGCCTTAAAACGTGGATTATTCTAAAGAATAATACGCATAAGAAAGAAGAAGAAGAAGAATAAGAAGAACATTGAAATAATTAAATATTTATTTATTTATTTATTAATTTATTTGTTTGTTTTAAGCTCACTTTCAATTCATCTAATGTCATGTCTTTAAATGTTGAAAACTTTTGTAAATTGGACGGATATTTGGTAAAAAATCGTATTAAAATCGCTACACCTGATTCAGTGGGTGTGGTCGCTGGTATTTCCCAGGTTCTCTTGATCTCGTAGACCTCATCGCTGTTCATTGTGCTATAAAGCTTAGAATTTTTTCCAGGGAATATTTATATAAATTTTATTTATTTAGTGGATTTCTAAAATGAAAAACAAAAGAATAAACGATTTCCATAGACGTTTACAAAATATATACATATATATATAGTTTTTTTTTTAAATCATAAATTTTAAAGACAATGGATTGTTTCTTAGCCAAAAATTTGCCTAAATAAACAACCATAAGGTGCAATGCATCAGCGATAATGACAATGGCACTTAATGAACGTCCAAAAAATATGTAAAAAGCATCTAAAGCCAAAGGCAAAAAAAAAAAAATCGGCAAGAAAAGTAAAATGGAAAAAGGGGCACAAATTGTTGGAAATTTTGTTTGACTCTTTTATCGCACACATATATGACTCTCACTCATTATCAAAAAAAAAAAAAAAAAAAAAACTTCCGTTGAAATCCATGACTTTTTTGTCTTTTCTGCCCCGCATCAATTATGGTACGTCGGTATATTAAGTTTGTGCGGATGTATGCAATATTCGGAAGAACTTGAGATAGGTCTATCTTTTATTGTACCGATCGCTTCCAAATTACTTATATTTAAATATCAAAACAAATAAAAATATTACAAGCGGGTAGCTACAGACCGACGCACGTACAATATAAAAGTGACCAGTATGTTGTTGCCATGTAAGGTCCAAGTTTAGCACCATTAATGTTCTTCTCAAAGATGTTATTGCTTTTCTCATATATGTGGTCATAAAGTACCAAAAATTAGACTTTGTTGCTATATAAAAATTTAATTGTCGTGAAAGTTCTTGCATGGGATCAGATTCAAAAGATCGGTCGATGTGATCCAAATTTTGTACAGTTCATTTCTATCTCAAATTACTATTATGAGCCAATTTCGATCGTAAAAGATTTCCAACTAGAACTTTTTTTCTCGAAAAAGTCGCTTACATGGGATGCCTGTTTATCCGACGGAAATTTCTCACATCAATTTAGTAGAATAGAATATTATTCTTGCGCGGTATTTGTCGCGAAATTTAAAAAATTGCAAATATTTTTCGTGTAAAGGCCTTTCCAAGGCCATCGCAAAAATTGTCCGATTCATTTTATTTCCTATAGCGTTTATTCCTGGGGCCAAATGGTATCAATATATCAAATTCCATGAAAATCTTTAAAAAATTGCGACCTGTTAGCTGGAAGCAGACAGACGTGACAAGCAAACTTAAGTCGAGATGGAAGATAACCCCGAGACAATCGTTCTACTAACTGGTAAGCTAATCTTAAGCCTTCTTACTTCTTACATACATCCATATAAACGTAAATCGCTCCGTGTTACAGGCACTACAGGCAGTGTGGAGGAGAGATTCAATGCTAACATCGAAAAACCTATTAAGCGAAAATGTTGTGAAAAAAAAAAAAACACTGATCACATTAAAATGTAATCCCATGTGGCAGAGTCTCTTATGTCCTGCATTATATAAGAAAGGCTGCAGACAATGTACACATTAGCTTGTACGTAGAATAGATTTACCTTAAAATAAGCCGTTCCGTTGTACCCGCTCAACCTTTTCATTATCACGCTGTACTCTTAATCTACTGTTATATGTTAAGTACTCAAGTAACACTTAATGAAATATGAAAGAAGACTCGAAAGGAAGAAATGCGAACAGCTTGAATTTTATACACTGCAAAAAAATTATTTATCAAGTTCGAAATAAAAAAAAAAATTTGAAAATGTTTGAAGCGAATTCTTAAACTAAGCAATTTCAGTTAAGTAAGTAATGATAAGAAAAAAATTAAAAGCTTGTCCTCTTCACGTGCAGCGCGAGGAGGGTCAGAAACAAATGTGGGGAAAGACAAGTCATCAGTCAAGCTTATAGATTAGCAACCAAGGACTAAATAAAAGAAAACCATTTTGAGATTTTCATATTCGTAGTGGGCAGTTGTATCCTCTTCTTCGTATCATTGCTTTAGAGTTAACACTTTCTACGGACTACAAATGTTGCCAACAACAATTGAGTATCTTTTCCTTAAAAAGATATGCTTGCATGTGACTTGCTTTCTAGGAAGCAAAGGGCACGTTTATCACGCGTGAACAAAGTCCTTGTGTGCGAAAGAGATAAAATTAAAAAATATCGTTACTCGTTTATTTTTTTAAGAAGTGGGAATAAATTTTAACACGCTCTGTATATTTTGAATGCCTAAGGACATCGCAGATTTGTGATTAATTGAAATGAATGTCTACGAAGCAATTGCCTAAGAAATGGCCGCCTAAGCAATTATTTAAGTGAAGATATTTTTGTTACATTCTTCCTAAACTTACAGAGAACGGAGTGGAACTTTTTCGCTCAGTGCCTCCGCACCATCAGGGGCAATATAAACAAAATACCAGCATACATTGCGGTGAAATAACCTTGCGACCCAAATCACAAGGCAGCCAAATAATGTAAAAACTATCTTCCAGATAGAATTTTGAGTGCGCTTTTTTTTTTTTTTTTTTTTTGTTATTAAATGCATAAAAGAATTTTTCGAACAAAGACAATTAATTAATTCAATTACGTTTAATTCAAGGAGAATGTAATAATATATATATACATATAGTGCGGATACTCGGTGAATTTTAAGCCCATATACCTAGTAGTAAAGAGACGCTCTCACTAATGGATTCCATTTACAAAATTGATGATAATTCCGGACAAGTTATGTACAAGATTAATATCTTTTCTGTTTCTTTCTTTTTTCTTCTTCTTTCTTTAATATCTTCATTTTACGAGCACTGTCGCAGTAAAGTTCGAATACATAAATAAATAATGCTAGGTATGTAAGCTTGATAAAAGTAGCGGTAATTTTGCAAGACATATAAAATAAATCTGAAATCGTATCAATTTGAACCGTTTGAGGTAATTTCATCAATTTTTTCCTTATGGATAACTACGCGTCAAAGGAATTTTGTAACAAGTATTTACACGCATATGCATGCACATAAAGCGGCATATGTTGCATACTTTGCAGCAAAATAAGCAAGTCGTAGCATCATCCGTACAAGTAAAAATATTTATATTATACATAGCCTGTATTCCTAGACCAAGCGGTTCAGGCGTTAAACTGCTGAACCACTTTTATGCTTGGGATTGTGAACTGAAACTATTTGTCTGAACTTGGAACTCCCAGGATGTAGGAGTCATATGGTCGCATTGATCACGGTCCTACTCTTTGAACAGCCGGTCCGTCGCTACTGCCGACTAAATTATTTAGCGAGATTTCCGAACGTGATCACAGCAACGTATTTTATGTGGTGCGGATGTTTTCCAAAAGTTGATCAAACTTGATTAGTTAGAGGAAGTAAAAGTCGGTCATATACATATATATACGTCTTTACTAATTGTGGTTCCTGTGCACCCTGTTTTATCTTTAACCGGCCTTTGAATTTTTAATCTTGAAAAAGTTGCTATGTAGCATATACTCACTGAAGCCTTATACCCATAAGAAATGTGAATGATACGCTTCCTTAGCTGCATAAAGACAAGACAAAAGACAAGCAACATATTTTAAACGTTTGATTGGGTGAATCAGTGACATGGAACGATATGTTGCCAGTAAGCACAATTAACTCTACTAAGAGTTAATTAAATTAAATTTAATGAAATTATGCTTAATAGCAAATAATAAAATCTATCTTCTATAATACACATTCACGTTTACAACGTGTTGTACGCTTGTACGCACGTACAAACATTTGATCTTAATTGCTGTATTTATAGGGTATGTGTGGTAAACAAATTGTGTAATTGTAACTATATATTGTTGGAATTCATTTTATTGTTGTTGTTATTGTTGGTATTATTTTGATTACTATTACCCATAAAATTTGTAGAAAGTTTCTCCTTCTATTGTCGTTTTTCGGTCTTTCAGTTATTATTGTTGCTTATTACTAGTTGGCGATAGTGTTACGAAATGTACTCTCTTTCGCTCTTTTGTTTTATACATTGCCAGCAAGGACATCTAAGAAATCCATAAATTATTGTGCTTGCATATACATACGCTCACACATTCAGCATACATATCGCACTGACTGACTGTCACGGACTTTTCTTATATTATAAGTGTATGTAGGCAAGTATGTATAATGTCTTACATGTGCAACGATATACAATTTTTCGGTAAATGTTTCTTTTCCTTTCCTATATAATTTTCTCTAATTTAAATATGATTTAATTGAACTTTTTTTTTCTTTAACTTTATTTTTTATCACATGGTTATTTAAAAAAAAAAAATTTTTTTTTCCATCCCTTCCTTCTTTACATCTTTTATTTATTCGAATATTTGAACTTTATTTTTTTTTTTTTTTATTTCAAATATCTTTATTGAAACATTAATAAGTATATTATACTTTCAAATTTTATTTTTTCTTCGAACATTTTCTGTTTTATCTGTTTTAGATATTTTATTTCTTCGCTCGCGTACGAATTTACGAATTCGACTGAATCAAAGAGAATGAATGTAAACAAACAGAAGCTCGCTTATTCGCTTTGACTGTCTATACTGCAGCAAACGGACTATTAATTAACATCGTCTTCTTAAGAGCAGAAGGGTATATCGCATATATGTGTGCTTGTACGCTTCACTAGAAAACAGTTAACAGAATTCGTGGCGCATAAGTGAGCAAGAGAGAATTGCTTTATTAACAGATTTATGTGCTGTTACGTTAATAGAAATTTAAAAACCGAAGCTTTCTATATAACATTCATTCTCTTCATTACAAACATATAATTATTTCAATTTTAATGCATGACAGTCAATATAAATGAGGACTGATGATTAATGGGATATTTTTAACTGATCTACTAGTTATGTTAGTCGAGTTGGAATAAAAATGTATATCAAAATTCTTCCTTCGCATATGCATATGTGCTAATTAGGGTCATTTAGAGAATAAAGACTCTCTTTTCTTAATTGTTTGTGATGCGTTAAAGCATTCGAATCTGTCAAGTAAAGTTACTTCAATCGAATTTCCTTTTATTCGTAAGCACCTAAAGAAACGAATCGCTGATTCCGTTTAGTGGAATAGGAATATTTCTACTAGGAAATAATGTCTTCCACTATTAGCACGAAATCTTGCATTTATTAAGTACACATATGGGCAGCTAAGATTCGGCTTAGATAGATGGAATTTTTTTTACAGTTATTTTCTGCAAATTATTATTATATCTGTTAGGACTCAAATTTTTCTCTGCACTGTATCTTCTTGTAATCGTTATTGTTTGCATATTCGTAAATTTTTGGTGCTTTTCTACCACCTGTAGAATCCATTTGGAATATGAAACATCAATAACATCTGAGCAAATCTTTCCTTCTCTCGCAACAATGTGCTTCTCTTCAAAAGCTTTATTTCTTATTCAAACAATCTCAAGTTTTCAAAAGTTTGATATATTAATCTTTCATATGTGATTTCCAAAAAATCTTTTTTTTTTTTTTTTTTTTTTTTTACTTAAAACGTCGTATGTATATACACCACTAAAATGTTTATTTTATTTATTTATTCATTTTTCTTTTTTTTTTTTTTGTTTGTTCATTATATTATAAAAAATTTAAATTAGAACTCGTGATTGATGGATGACGATAAGTAAATAGTGCGACTAAGCGAAATGACTTGAAAGGATTATTTAGCACAAATAAAGTGCACTATATATATATATATATATATGAGAACTAAGGAAAATTTAAGAAAACAAAAACAAGAAACTAAATAAATATAAATGAGATTTTAATATTTACATAAACTATAAACAAATATTTAAGATTTAACCCACTGCGCTTAATTTTTTCTACAACGTCGTTTCACTGCTCGCTTTAAAATAACTGATTGTTGCTTCGATTCTAATAAATTTCAATGCACTATAATTTGCGCCAGAAATTAAAATGCAATAGTGACGATATGTTTTGCTTAGAGAATTGCATGGAAGAATCGGATTTCAAAATTTTCAGAAAATACATAACGGCATTGGATTTGTTACGTCTCCTCAAAAGAGATTTTTTAATTAGATCTTGTCATAGATCGCCAAATTAGTGTTAGTGCGTTATTGCTGTCATAGAAAATTGAAATAAAAATCTAAAATTTATAAACATGAAATGTTTTCTCAAGAAAGATTAAAAGCAGGCGTCCTAATGTCTTAAAGCAAAAAAAAAAAAAAGAAATCGGAATTTATTTGAACTCGTTTTCCTGTTGCATTAGAATTGGCAGGTATTCAAAATTCTCCCAAAGCGAAGCGAACTTTATTTTTGCATATTGTTCCTCTTGCCTTCATAGCATACAAGACAAACGTGATAGCAATATAAAAATTGATTAACATTTTTTTATTTCTTTTTTTAATAAATTTATTGATAGCGAATTGAATGCGGAGAGCCTGCCCTGCAGTTTTTATTAATTCTTTCGGCTGATGTAAGTGAAAAACTATTTGAAATGCATTTCCCAACTTAAAAAACAAGAGGCTCTTCTCGAAATGAAACGATCACGGAGGAAGGCGATTAGCAATTAGCAAACACATGTTTAGCTGCAGAAACGCGCTACCGCACATTTCTTAGATAGTCAATAGAACTTCGTATATCCATAAAGGTGCATAAATTCGAAAAGCTAAATGCTTTCAAATCAGAAAAGACTACTTGAGTCTATACGAAGATACCTTTGCAACGATAAGAGAGAACTAAAATAGTCCTTTCGCGAGAAAGGTCCTCTTAACAAACACTTGCAAATCAAAATGTTGAAGAAAGTTGATCATAGCAAAAAAAGTCCATTTTCCTGTTGCCTTAGCAATCTATATAAAAGTAAGCAAAAAGAGGAAATTAGAGTCATTTTCAGAGGTATTTTTTAGCAAATTTTGGCCTCTTAACATAATTCGAGCATAAGTTTGAGAAAGAGATTAGTCCTGCAATTAAGGAGGATATCGAGTTTAAAATTAAGCTTAAACAAATAAGTTAAGCTTTGATATTTTCTTAAAATCTGTTCTTGTTTATATGCCTCTTGTTTGTATGTAAATGTATAATTTCTCAAAATTGCTTTAAAATATTTCTGAAGAGAAAACATTCACATTTTTCTAATTCGTTTAAAAGGTATTTCTATCAATTTAAAAAAAAAGGGCATAGGAGATAGAAAAGTGTGCTTCATTTGCCAGTTTGGGTATGCTAGAACCTCAAATGTGTATGAGATAAAGGATGTAACGAATTATTGAGTCCGGATGTTAAGGGTTAAACTTTCCGTTTTTATATATCCTAGATAAAGAGCATAAAGCCCCTAAATGGCTCATTACGAACGACAACTGAAAATGATTTTTGACTTTCCATAATTTCTTTTTAATCATCTTCCTTTCAGATTGGGAATCGAGAAATCTGATTTCCCAAGCAGTTACCTTATTTTTAACTTACAAATTAAAATTTTTCGTTTGTTTTTTACAAGTGAAAATGGTGTAGCATGACCAATGAAATTATATTGAAATTTCCATTTTTCGCATTTTTAAATCCCACAGGACGCAGAACTTTACTCTGGTCGAAAAATATCGCATAAATGACCGGTTGCGGCCGCTAAGATACATCGAGAGATATTCGCTTCATATTTGTTCTATTTTCTGCGCAAAGATGGGTCTTATAGCATCTGCCTTTCTTACCCAAATTTGCGGAATGGCAACTCTGCCACAATTAATTTAATCAAATAATGATCAGAGATTGCTTAACAAGAGATAAACATCAATTGCTTGAATCAAGTAAGAGAGTAAATTCTCTCCTCACTTACAATTATATAGCGTCTAACGAAGAGAAGTATTAACAATAGAGTTTCCACTCGTTAGTTTGACTGGTTAGGAGAGTTTACTTTAAATTCCAACTTTCGCATTATTAAATGAATGATACGGAGAGAGAGAATAGTTTTTAGAATACAAACACAAGCATATCATAAGCATGCAAAAATACTTTTCGACTTCTCTTTCGTTTTATTAAATGCAAGATTGGGAAACGAGGCCAAACGACTATTGCTGCAGAGTCCGCTTCACGATTTGTTAAGTTAGTTTGATTCCAATTTTTACGTTTTATTTGAACTATTTATTTCTATAATAGAATGTACTTACCTGATTCCTCTTTTATGTTCTCCTTTAGTTTTTAAAAATGCGCTTTTCTCTGCATTTCATAACAAAAGTGCTTAGTGATGTGCTCAAGTATGTGAAATTTTTCGAAGTTCCCAAATTTATGATTAGACGTCACCAGATCAGTTTGACATTTGCGTGTGACAAACATACAGTACATAAAGGACATCTCGTTGATATTGCTCAGAATAATAAGGTTAACCTGCAAGAAGAGCAAGAGTGTTGTGCGAGTTGTGACCTTCTCAGACCTCTAAACGAACGAATCAATGGTGCGTTTTCGGGAAAGGACTCTTGACGAACGAATGCAGAGATCTGACATTGATGTAAATCACTTCTAGAAACAGAATTTCTTCTAAGAGATCCCTCAAAAAGTTGTAGACAAATGGGAAATCTTAGGAAATATACCTTCACTTAGACGCAAACAAAATGTACGTATTTTAGAGTGAAATTCGAGTTGAACGTACATATATAATAGAAAGAAAAGCAATCTAATTCCCTACATCTGTGAATATGAAAAGAATTTCCTTTCATATCCTTTAATAAAAATTCTCTTCTTTCTTCTTGTACGATTAGTAAAACAAACGAGAGCAACCACTATTTTAATCATTCTTTTTTACTTTACTTAGATTACTTCCTTTCCACAACATTAATTGACCTAAGAGAGTAAGCGATCTCTTTCAATAAAATTCAAAAGAGTGAGAGAGAGAGAGGAGTAAAAGATCTTTAATTGACATTGAGATCAATACTATTCGTAAGTATCTGCAATAAATGAACTTTCAATATCAATTAAATTCAATGGGAAGAGAGAAAAAATGTTAAGGTAGTAGAGTTTGTCAAAGAGTAGAATTATATGTGCGTGTAATATACTTAGTATTTCTAAATGCATTAAAAGCATGGGACGGTAAATTGTAAAAAGGTAAACGATCTTGTTATGAAGACTGAATGCGAGCTTTGAAGTGCTTCCGAGACGACCTTGACGAAATTTTTACTTATACAAGGAATTTAGAAAATTTCACAAGAATTTAGAAAGGTCAGAAGGAATTTTGCTTTAAAGATTAGAAAATTAATGTACGAAACGCTTTCCCATTCCATTTTTCTCTGCACCCATTGATCACTTGCCTTATACCAACGACTGAGCACTCTATTAATTGCGTTTTATAATGAATTTTTAAAAAAGGAAACCTTTTTTTTGGATTCATTTAACCAATCTCGCCATGTTTCACACTCATTGCGCACAAAATGAGAAAGAATGCGAAAGTTCTCCTGAATATGAAAAGCATAGTAATAATAATGAAATAGAAGTGCAATTAAAAATCAATTTAAAAAGTTATGTCAATTTTAAACAATAAAATAAATTTTAAACAATAAAGTAAATTTGCCATAGCTATTAAGCTATTAAGCGATCGGAAAGGAAGTTAAGTGCATAAGGCGTGAAATGAACAAAGGCAAATGATTTAAAGCGAATGACTAAAATGTGACAGTGAACAGATTCATCATATATTTTGATAATTGATTTTTGTTTTCATATTTACTTTTGTCGCACGTCCTTGAGGTTTGACTCATATAATGCATTTAATTTGCATAAATTAGTTGCTTGCAACAAAGTTATTTTTATTTATGCATTATAGGAGAGAGTCGATGTCACTCAGTTAGATGATGATGATGATGATCGCGTATGATTTACGCAAGCGATCAATGGCTCCGCTTGCTCTTGCTCCGTCTATACTTACATTTAGAAATTGCAGTATAAAAGAAGAGCGATTCCTTCTTTCTCCATAATGAATGAGGAAAAAAAACAACAACAAAACGAAATGATTCACATAATTAGATGCGTAAGAAGTTTTTGTTGTATTTACATAAAGAACAAAATTTGAACTAAATTATTAATTTAACTTCATATCCTCTTAAGTAACTACGTTTATTCTTCTAATAACAGTTTCTAGAGGTGATATGCTCATTTCAGTTAATGAATCAAACTCTTGCTCATTTATCTCAGTACAAGTGTCCGAGTCAAAAGAACGCATTAAACTGGGGCTACTTATGCTAAATTCTAGATCGAAATTATCTAAAAATACATTGCTCGTATCTTTGCAGAAATTCGGATAAGAATTACTTTTTGCCGGTTGCCGAGGCAGGCTGTTGTGACAGAGAGGATTTTCCTGTGGCTCCTGTTCCTGTGGGACCTCCTGACCCCATAGAGCTACCGCCCGCACGCGATTGAGTTCGGCTTTCGTTGGATTGGCCACTTCCTCCTGCAGCATTTGTCGACGATTTGCTTGTTTTGCTTGGCGCGACATTAGATGAGGTCGATTTTTGTGTGGAAGACGCTGCTGTGATTTTGGTTGGCTCTGGTTCCGCAGTAACGCTGGTAATAACGTTGGTATCTTGGTTTTGCTGTTCTGTAATTGCCGTTGCTTCTCCTCTCTCGTTTGTCGCTTCATATTGATAGCCCGAGGTCTCGTAGTCACCTTCTCTGTACTCATAGTCTGTTTGATTGACCCCGGGATCGTATCCTTCGTTTCCGTATTGTTGAGGCTCGTAGTTGGTACCATCATAGCCTGCTGCATCGTATTGTTGTTGATCGTATTCATCGTAGGCATTGTAGTTTGTATTGTAGTCAGCGAGTCGATCAGCAGCATTTTCTGCGGTTTCTCCGGTGGTACCAGAGTTGTTTGCGTTTGTATTTCTATCGCTGGCGTTTGCGTTTTGCTGTGAGTGCTCGATTGGCTGCTGTTGCTTCTTTTCTCCTTCGCTAATGTCTTTGACATTTTCGTCATCGTTGTCGTTGAATTGTGATTTGTAATCGTATGCCGGTGTTGATGTTGTATCATATTTGGGCTTATAATCGTCGGCGATAGCATTTGGCTGACTATCGTTAACGGCTGCCTTTCCAAGGATGGGCTCATAACTATAGGAATTACCGGATTTGATGTAGTCATCGGCAATTGTTCGCGACTTATCGGTTGCGTCAAATGCGTTTGGTTTGTAGGCGAGAGACACTAAAGATAATAAGAACAATTTCACAGAAAGTTTTCAAAAGTTAATAAGGAGACAGTACCACAGCTGTAGTAGTGGTAGTGCGAAGAATCTATCATTACTAATACCCTACACCACTTTGTTTAATACAATTATTCATGTAACCACTTTTCAAACCAAACCATTATATGGGAAGTGATCGAAGATGTGGACCAATCCGAACCATTTTTGATAGCATTTATTTTTATTTCATTTCACAAATTGGAGAGAAGAATAAACGAGCAGATAAAATTAGAGCAATTTAGAATTATTTTCTAAACCGAGCGATGTAATACGTGATGGATTTATCTCAAGTCGTTCCTGCTTTTGTACGCATGCGTATACGCTTAATATGTAACAAGTGGTGTAGAGTGGAAAAAAAGTATTTGAAGGAATTTTTACCGGAGAAAGAGAGAGAGAGACAGAGACAGAGAGGAAGGGAGAGAGAGAGAGAGAGAGAAAGAACTCTTTGCGATAGACTTTGGATTTTAGGTTTTTTTACTAAGGTTGAAGCTATAAATTTTGATTAGTGGTAACAATAATATAACGGAATGAAATCCATTCGGTAAATTCGAACTCTTGCATTTGCTAAAACTTCTAATCAAGTTGAGAGAAGAAGAAAACTTCTGAAAATGATTTATTTTGCGTTAATTTTCACCTGAACGATGCATCGTTGTTTTAATAGGTCAAAATATTATCCTTAAATATGTAAATTACCTTTTCCCGCTGTTGGTAAACTGTTATACGAAGTCGTTGAGTGATCTAACTTGCTGGGACGATCGCTACTTAATACGCGGTTCGTTAAGTATTCTACGTTTGATTGCAAAGATGAAATTTCCGTTCTTTTACAAACATTGCGTTAAAGAGAAAGGTAAGCGAAGAGAGATAAAGAAAGGGAGAGACACCCATAGTGTTATAGAGAGAAAGAGCAAGAAAAAGAGAAGAGAAAAAGATGTACGTTTAATAAAATTTTCTTTTTATAAACAAACCTTTTGTCGTTGGTGTTTTGCTGTTGATGGTATTGGTTGTGGTGGTGTTAGTTGTGGTGGTGGTGTTAGTTGTGGTGGTGGTGTTGGTTGTGGTGGTGGTTGTGGCGATTGCTGTGATGCTTGTAATGATGGTTGTGCTGATGATTGTAGTGGCGGTGTAATGTTTGCATTTTGAATGGAGTATTGCTCTTTATGAGTTGTAAGACAATCTGTGACAATTAACTCGCAATTATCGTGTTTTTGCATTAATTCTTTATATTTATGCCAGATTTCTTTTAAGCATAACAAAAGTTTATCATTAATACTACGCAGATTATGTTCATCCCGGCTGAAAATATGAAAATAAGAAAACAAATTTTCTCATTAAATGCATAATTCGAACGGTAATCTACTTCAACGCGACTTAAAGTTGAATTATTATATTATTATATTGTTGAATATATATATATTGCTTTAATTTATGCTTTTTCCATTTCCTCGGATTCAATAGGCTGGCTAGGACTTTCCTTATTATCAGCATCTGCCTTTGTTATGATCTCGTTTGGCCCGTGCTTATCTGATTTGCTTTTCAAAGTTTTCGGCATTAGTCTCACATTTATATCGACCTTAACGGGTTTTGTTTTTCTCTTCGTCTTAAACGTTTCCCTTTCGTGGAAATTATTCCCTTTCTCTTCGACATTTTCCGTTTTGTTATTCAAACATTTCCTGTTCTTTAGATTGTAATTGCAGCTGCAACAAGTTTTCGTTAATGGACGAGGACGACAGCAATGCTCTGTAGATGAATATACGACATCTTCGTGTGGGACAGATTTCTTTGTCATTCTAGTGTGACAAAGATTCTGACAAGATTTAACCGTTTGTTTCAAAACTAGATGCTGTTGACACCAAGTCAACGGCTCCGTTTTGCCGCCATGCAAGTTTTCGTGCGAGCAACTTCTTGACCTTCTTGTACATCTGTGACGTCCAAAGCATCCATCGTGACTATCATGACGACTGCTGGCAATCGGCGGCATAATTGTTTGTTTATTTGCATTTAAATTCTTACCCTCTGCCCGTGTGTTGTTTTGAACAAAAGGCAACTTGTTTGCATGGTTGTGTTTACTTGACTGCAATTTGGGCTGCAAGGGTTGCGTGACCGCCTTATTCAGCTTTTCCTTGTCATTTCGAAGACCAAAATTGCCTTCATTACGATGTCTATTACAACCGTCGGCTGTGGAATAATTATGCAAATCAGTCCACAGCGAATGAGGAGATTTTCCCGAGGTTGTAGTTTCGAATTGCAGTGGCAATGGAAGCATCTTAGCCCATTCCCTTTCTAATCGCTCAGTGCTGCGAGAAATATTTCTCCACGTCGTATTTTCTTCTTCAGAAAGCAAAGTGGACTCTTTTGCATTTTCCGCCGTTGCTGGGACATTTTCCAATGATTGCTGCGGCGCTATGTTGTCTTTTTCTAGAAGGCAAGTTGGCGGCTTCGCTACGGTCAACGTTTGGTCCGAGCTTGCTAATGTCTCGATTTTCGGTTTTATTGCTGAACTGTCCTCGACTGTAGTTGGTGCCGATAATATTGCTTCTAATTTATCAGTAATCAGTTTTTGATTTATATATTTTTTTGATTGTAACGATTTTGTTCGTATTTGGCAGCAGAAAAAAATTGATAATGACATCGTATTAATCCAAAGCTAGGATTTTTTCTTTTGTTTTATCAAGAGAATGTGTTTGTAAAATGAAAGATTGTACCCATTTGTATGTATATGTATTACCAAAAAGAAAGGATATGTATATGTTATGTATATGTACGGGTAGATGTGATTGACGGTTTTCCAAAAATGAATTTTAATTTGTCATGAAATTTTTTTTTTTTTTTTGTAAATAGAAAAAAAAACAAAAAACCGCTTACTTATGCTTAATGGTGGTATCTTCTAATTTCTTTGTTAACGTTCTACATTCATTGGTTAATTTATCCATGAGTTGCTTTTGACTTTGTATCATGTCTTCTAGTTCGTTAACGGTTTCCGCTAAAAAAAAAAATAAGTAAATCAATTTTGAAAACAAAAAAACACTAAATTGTAAATATATTTGCAAAAAGAAAAACTCATATGAAATTCTTCTACGAACTCTACAGCAGCTCATGATAAACTATTGATTTCAAGGCGTTTGCTTAAACTTGGAGAAGAACTTTCGATTCATATTCATTTGGAAAACCGCATCAATAGCTTACCCAGTTTATACGAAAATGTGTTAAATGTGTCAGGTGCTTAATAAGCTTGTTCCAAAATTGTGCCTTTAGGTGCTGAATATCTATTCAATTGTGCGATACTAATGTTAAGTATGCATGTAAGGGTATCCAGTTATTATAGTGAAAGGGAAAGTATACTCGACCATTCGACTCGACTTTTTCTTTTCTTTGGAGAAACAGCAAATCATCAAACAATAATCTCGAAAAATACTTGGCCAGATATGCATTTCAAAGACATACAGTTACTATTCATTAACCTGCAACGCACACGGTCTTCTCAATCCAATATTTATGGGAGAATATTGCATATATTATATGCGGACATGCAAGCATCAATGTAGGCTTTTCTCAATTTTTCCTTCGCTGGTGTTATTCTTAATACAAAAATTCTCTTTCTATCATCCCTTAACTTATATTCTTGTTTGTATACATATTACTCGCATAACTTTCATTATCCCACACTACTTATTGTACAGAGTATATTAAGTTTATCCAAGTTTATGAATTAAACATCCACACGGAGTCAAGAGATATCCGCCTTTTATTACGCCAATCGGTTCGAAATGGTTGTCTCAAGTTTTGTTTGACAGCTTGGCCATGTATTTTTGAGCTTAACAGACGGATCGCAATTTTAGAAAAATTGAGCGCACTTGCAATCCAAAGATATCTTGGGAATAGGTTGACTAAGATCGCTTCTATGTATGCAAACACTCCGCTCACAAAGCATTCATTTGAAAAAGTCATAATAATCCTAATACGGCATTCGAATCGGATCAGTTAACTTTTTGCGCCTTCTCGCCATATCACTGTTCCTATGAGAAATGAACTTTTGTATGCCAAAATGTTTTCATTTTTATAATTCGATGAAGAAAACTGCTTCGTAACGCTTATCTGGCATAAAAATTATTGCAAATGCACTGAAATTTGGACGTCTCACTGTATAACAATTTTCATGGAACGTACTTCTCTTATGTGGCAGAAAGATCTAATATTTAAAGTTTTTTAATGAAAATTGATCGATAAGAGTAATTGGACCACAACAAGTGTAGAACTGCTTTTTAAAGCCAGCACCCTTTATAAAGCTGCACAATACATCCTTCGGTGGCTGCTATGCAAAGAATATTCTTACATACAAGCAATTTGGTTATTTTATCATAAAGCGCTGTACTAGGCGAAATGGTATGATGGGATATTTACATGTCAGTCGTGTCCGATTAGTACATTTTTATTTCTTGCTTATTCGGCCGTGAAGGAATTTTTTGTCCCCAAAAAAAGATTTAGAAGGAGGATAATAAATAAATTTTCATACTCTATAATATTGGATGGGCGCGGCTGATCCCTTGTAGTTTCAGAATAAAGAAAGGAAATTCATACGTCGTGTTTACGAATGTATACAACAGACAGACGGACATGCTTAGCCCAATGCGGAATTAGATGCTGATCGTGTATTTGTGAGACCTCTGAAGCCTTCTTCTGGACCTTGCAAACGTTTTGACACAATTATTATATATCCTAATCCTTCGATGATGAATGTAAAAAACACTTTGCTTTCTTCTTCTAATCCTTCCTTTCCTTTAATCTAACGATTCGAGCTATTTTGTTAGTAAAAATTTAAATGAATAAGGAAAATATTTTCTCACATGAAAGGAGAGAATATTCGGCCTTCAAAGAATAGGCAACACCATCTGCCAAACGGCGAGAGAATCCTTGACCGAAGAACAAACACTCACAAGATATCACAACTAAAGTGATCACACGTAGTCTGATTATCTTCTTAAGGCGCAGTTTCTGACTAAAAGCGTAGAAGTAATGGGTGAACAGAGGTTTCTACTTAAAGATTTTCTTGTACTCAAAAAGGTCTTAAATGCGCAGTTAGTGCTTTTGTTTTCCGCCCGAAATCTTAATCCATGACTGAATACAAAGATTTTATCAAAGGAAATCGGAGGAAAATCAATGGCTAAGTATCTTTGAAAGGGTGCAAAATAAAGTAGAATGTGCGTGAAAGTGCTCTAAAGTGACATAAACTTTCTTGATGTTGCTGTGATTAAAGGAAGTTTAAGAAAAAAATTTTTAATCCGCTAATCTGTGCGTGACAAGCGTTTAAAGAAGGGAAGGTGGACATTAGAGGGAAAAAGCGAAAATTACCATGTTTGTCTTGCATTTCGGAAATGCGTTTATCTAAATCCTTTTTCGTGGGGCGAATTTCGTTCTTCAGCTCGCCGTAAGCTAACTGAAAGGTGTGTAAAGCAAAAAATTAATGAATATTTTGTTGCCGTAGTGTAGGTCGCTATGAAGGCTTACCTCCTTTTCTAAATTGGCGATGTCATCATTTAATCGTAAAACTTCGCGTTTCGAATGCAATAAATCGGCATCCGCTCGATCCAAGCGTTGTCTTAGCGAATTGATTTCCGCATTCAAACGTGCCGCTTCCGTTTTATGATCTCTAGAGGCTCTGTCCAATTGCAATCTTAAGGCAGTAATATCTTGCTCTAATGATTGTTTTTCCGCATTCAGCTGAGCCATGTCTGCGAGGAAAGTTGATCGATTCGATCTCAATTCCATTTTCAGATCTTCAATCTGACCATTCCTATTTGCTAATTCGCGCTTTAAATCGCTTTCATAACGTTTTTGTCGCTCCACTTCTAGCTGCAGTTTTGTGACATTGTCCCATTGATGGCTCAAATCGCCGCCCATTTGATCGAACTGATTGTTATAACGTCTCTCGGCACTTGCTCTCTCCTCGGCTAAACGTCGAGCCATATCGTGTTGTAGCTCACGCACCCTTTCATGTTGACGATCCAATTCATCGCGGAGATGTTTCACTTCCAATTCGGCCTGAGAACGTTCCATTTGCACCAGATCGTTTATGTAACGACTGGAGGTCGCATTTAATTGTTGCGATTTGGTTTCATCTAAACATTTCTGCAAATGCCTGATGGTCTCTTCGAGAGAAGTCTTTTCTTTTTGTAAAAAGTCGATCTGTTTGCGATGAATGTCACAATTCTGACCAATATTTGGCGCAGTGTCCGAGACCTCATTTGCTAATTTCTTTTTTAATTCCTCATTTTCGGTCTTCGTACGTTTCAAGTCAATATGGGCTTGCGTTAATTCCGCCTCCAATTCACTTATACGAGCCTCATACAGTATATTCGGAGCTGAGCCATAACGCGATGATTTTATATCTTTTTTGCGAGGCATTAAAGTTCTTTTCTTGCTTGGAAAATCGTCATATTCCGACGGGAGATTAGCGGAAGGGAAGTCAGCTAAAGCCTTTAGCTCTTTGCGTGTATTTTCCGTTAATTGTTCATTTTCATCGATAACCTCGCGAACTTTACCCAATAGGTTACTTAGCTCATTGCGACAATATTTCGATTCCTTTTCGAGTTGTTCTATATAATCATCTTGTCTTTCGATAAACTCGACAATTTCTGCCGGTGCCGTAACACAGTCTTCCGATAATGGTGCTTCTTTTGAAGTGGTCGCAAAATCCTCCATCAAGGCTTGTGCTGGTTGTGCTGATGACGGGACAATTACAGTATTAGGAGTGGAGATTGTAGATGTACCATAATTTCTGACAGGCGAAGAGTAAATATTCTCTTGAGAACCGGTAGAACCATTGTAATCTCTCCTCGAGCGATAACTGCCAAAATGTGATTTTTGACTTGGATTTAAATACTTGGAGATATCGCCAAGTGTCGGTCGTTCAATAGCCTATTAAAACATATTCGTGTTAAAAGTCTCAAAAGTTTCAACTTTTAAACCGTTACTTACTGCTATCTTACTCGAGTAATTATCTGCACTTAGGTTTGCCGCATTGGATCTTAAAGTTGCTCTTTTCGGCGAGCTATAGGAGTCAGCCAACATTAGTTTTAGCCGTCCGACCGCCTCCTTATAAGCATAATTTGTATAATCCATGCTTTGCTTTTTCTTATTAACGCCACGCAACGGTCTCATCGACCGATCTCTAAATAAAATGAACTTTTACTTAATATTTGCAACATTTCTATGAAATTTTCTTTAAAGTTTTAATTTAACAAAAAATGAAAAAAAAAAAAAATGCTTAGTTTCGCTTATTCACGTCGAGTATGCATTTGCTAATGTCTGCTTTTCACATTAAAAAACTTGTAAATGTTTTGTGGCAAGTGCTCTAATTAAGTTGCTGTAGCAACACGAATTTTGTGTCAATTCTTATAAGCCACCACCAACTGCTGCTGTTCTACCTTAACATACACACTATTTAAATTTTACTTCATTTATTTTGCTTTCTGCTTTTTTTTCTTTCTTTTGAAAAAAAAAAAAAAAAAAAAAAAAAAAAAATGGAGTAATTAAATCTTTCAAATTTAACAAGTTCGAGTAAAAATTTCCATTTCGATCATTTCTTACGCTACATATTAGTTTACAGAAAATCCTCGCTCGTATAAGAATTGAGAAGCAGCATAGCTTTACTGCACTTCAGGCCAAAAGATAGCCTGCTTCTGTTATATTTTTCAAAGAGACGACTCTCTTGCTCTGGTTCTTAGCTACTTAATAAATCCACTTCTGACTTATCTGATATTAAGGAAAAATTGATATATAGCAATAGAATGAAAAATGGGGCGCATTAGAAGACCCTAGAAACAAGAAACAAGAGTTGAATTCATCAGAAAAAATAGATACTCTTCCTCTAAGTAATACTTTTCAAAAGTCAAGATTTGTGTTATGAAAATTCGTAGAAAGGACACATTCTTCGAAATTTGACAAGAGAGAAGTGAAGATATCTTTGGGTTAAGTAAAGGAGCAAGCGCATTAATGAAGTCACAATTAGCGCCAAGATAAGCAGTAGTGTTTCGAAAAACGTTGGCGATCATCATTACTACCATTAATACTAAACCTGATAACCAACAAGACCGGTTGCGTCAAGCTAAGATCCAAACAAAACAATCTTAAAACAATTTTCGCACGTTTTTATAAAGATTTCACTATCGATCTCTTATGTTTCTATGTCATTTTGTCTTGTTTGCCGAAGTTTGGGCTTTCTTTTCGCTTTGAAGACGTTCCGTGACCTTAACAACAATAGGAACGAAAATAACACCATGGCGTAAGGATTTATGCAGCCGGGTAAATACTAGCACATATATCGTACTACGCACCACACTTATAGATTACCACATTTTACACATTATGCCACAGTGGAAGAGCTTACACCCTAGTATAACAGCTTACACCGTAGTATAATAGCTTACACCTAAGTATAAGTATCTACACCGTAATGTAAATGTAAATATTTAGATGACAGTAAAAGCACTAATGCCTTAGTCTAGATTCCCACCGAAACTGCAGGTAACGCACAGTTTTTATAGCCTAGAGTAACTGCCGGTATTGTGGTAAAATTACTTATACCAGCTTGTAAGTGCCAATACCGTAGAAGCACTCCCACAACATACATAGACAGATACTTATAGCATAACATAATCGTATTTTAGCGTTTAACATTTACATTGAATAAATTCTTATGCCGTGATTATGTCAATGTAAGCATGTTAATCGTAGTTTACGTATATAGTGGGTTGTAAGTAGCTTAAGTGCCTTACGCAGACACTGTCGGGGAAATACTTACTCTGCAAAAAAGTGCTTATGCCATAACGTAAGCAGTAACACCGTAGGGTATATAAATAATTATACTCTACGGCAGGCGGAAAGAACTAGCACTAGAAGTGCTTACACGGTAACGTAAGTGTTCGCGACACATTGTGACCGATTTATGGTTGTAGCTTGAAAATAGATGAATACTTGAATGAATACTTTATCGACAGCTGCCAACTCCTACAGCAAGTCATAAATGCACGGGTATCGTGTTTACTCGATATCGAGGACCTTGAAATCAATCCTAGCAACTTTCACATTAATCCCGCAGAGACGTCAACTGTTGTTCTGTGTTTGTACAAATTTATCTATTGATTTCGGTTTGGCAGTGGGCTGGCGGTATAGACTCGAAGAGAAGTTTCTTCCTTAAGCATAACGCTTTACTTTACGCACTTTCAAGGACGCAAAAATTTGGGAAATTGACTGGGCTTTTGAAGACCTTGGCAAATGCATACTTTTTCCATTCATTTTCATATTACTATTTATGTGAAATACTTTTTTTAAATCTTACGTAATAATTTATTCTTTTAGGTATTTTCGAAAAAAAAAAATTAATTTTTTTTTATATTATTTTAATTTATTTATATTTTATTTATTTATTTTTTTTGATTTATTTATTTTGTCACAGGTGAATTCTTCGACTATTTGCCATCCGAAATATTTTCTCAATTTTTATTATTCAATATTTAATCTCTCTCTCTCTCTCTCTCACCCTATTATTATGAAATATTAAATTTTCTATTAAAATTTTCTTTAAAAAACTTTTCTTATTTGCACTCTGTGTGTGTGTGTGTGTGTGTGTCCACTGACGCTTGAAGTGTTAATATTGTTATAATCGATTTAAAAAAGTAGAGAGAAGAAGAACATTTTCAATCTTGCTCATGTTAAGTTCTCTTCCTTAACTGAGGTAATAGAGTTGTTCTAATATACGATGAAGTCATACACGTGTAACGTATCGCTTGCAAGTCAACGCAAACCGCTTTCTAAGGTTTTAAAACTTCACTTTTAATTTGTGGTATTTAAACCGTTTTACTAACTAAGCCAACCGCACTAACCGCGAAAATGTCTTGCTTTGGTTTTATAAACGCTTCCTCGCTTTACCGTTCGCGTTTGTATGAATTTCTTATTTATGTATAGGAATAATAAAATTTTATTCTTCAACTATTTTTTTTTTTTTGCCCAGTATTACGTTATGCTTTAACTTTACACATTCAACTGAAATATTGTCAGTTTTCTGTCAAGGTTTTTATAGAGGAAAGTTTTCTGATTTGAGAGCGCATTTCTGTTGTTATAGAATTTTTTTATTGTATTTTTTTTTTTATTTTTTTTTTTTTTATTATTTAACGTTTACCACACACACACATACAAAGTGTAAAAAAAAAGTTCCTTCTTATTCGTTCTTAAAGGCTTGTCAGTTATATTGGCCTTATCGTACCATGTTGTACATTGTTGTTGTGTAAATTTGTGAAAATTTACAAAACATTCCATAGCAAATATAATTGATTAGAATACTTATACAATAGTTATTCTAAGCAAGGAAATGCTGTTATTTCTCTCTACAACAATTCATTCAGTCCTCAGTATTCAACTTATTTTTATTTAGTTTCACTTGTAAAATAAGCAACAATTGCGCCTTAAAACACTCAATTGTTTGTTTGATCGATATGGAAAATTTGTTTTAATAGAATTCTTTTTTACACCTATCCTTTTTAGTTATTTTTAACCACCATCGACAACAATTCGATTATTCCGCCAATATCATGTTAGCCTTCTCCTTACAACTGTACACGTATTCTATGCAACTAATATAAAAGAATTTTAATATAATATTATTATTATTAACAGGCTAACCTTATATTATTTTATTATTATTACTCTTATTATTGCTATTTTCATTAGGATCAAACAACAATTATATATCAATACAGTTTTTTTTTTTTTTTTTTTTTAATAATATATTTATTCCTAACGTTTTTATTTAAAAAGAATTAAGCTCATTATGGTCGGGCAAAGTCCGAAGTTCTTAAATCTCCTACACATAGCTCTTAATTTTTTTTTGTGATACAATAGCAAAAATTAAGCTCTATTTTTAGTTAAAGGCATATTTTCCATAGCAGGAAAGAACCCACTAATAAACGGACGGATCCAAAATTTAGCAAATTTAATGTTATTTCCAAAGCAACCTTTTCTTATGCCGACCGAATGAGAATCACTTTCTAAATAGGTCCAAGTTTATCTGCCCGTCCGGCTGTCCTTCCCGTTTTCTTATGTTCATTTTGTTCTTGTGTTGTTTTCGCAGATAGTTTGATGAATCTTCAGTACGTCGACATGTTCTGGCCCAGCGATTTTGGACACCATCTATCGTAAATGGTTTGGATCATGTTGATGGTTTGCCACCACTTTCCATATAACGACCTATTTTGAAAGTTCTTATGTAAATAACTGCAGGAAGCAAAGTTATGTAGGGTATGTAATGGTCGGTCGACTTATTATATTTTTATTTATTTATGTATTTATTTATTTATTTTGCTCTTTGGTATATGCATTAAGGAGTCAATCAAGCGATTTGACATTAAAATTTATAAAAGTTCAGAAAGTGGGGTTAAACGACTTGGCAAACGATGGATTCCATTATTGGCGCTATCTTTATTTATTTATTTACATCAAATATTCAAATTCCACGATCGCCAAAAACATGAATTCCTTAAGTGGCTTTGAAAATTAACTTACATTTAACATTTAAGTAAGTGAAAGACTTGCTTTGCAAAGCCCAATTTTCTAAACCTACTATTTTCCCTACGAATTCTATATAGGCGAAGTTGAATGGGCGAGGCCTTTTCTTCGCATTTTTCTGCAGGAACTCTAGAATCGTTCACAGAATATATGCGGAAACTTTGAGTTTAGGGGTAATGAACATTAATGGAATAACTCGCGCTTTTTATGTTTAAAACATAAAATGGGAAAACATTTATGTGGTACGGTATGTGCGTGTCCTTCGATGAATTTAGTCCACTTCTACATCCCTTCTTCATGCAGGGACCTGCCATATTTTTTTGGGGGAATGCTTACCGATTCAAACGTAAATGCATAATTTACAGCGTCTCCGAAGCTCTGAATGATGCAAACGTTGATCGTTTTAAAAAAAAACTTATGTGACAAAAATTTCATTCGTATAAATAACATTTTTATTATAAATTGTTTTATGGACTAACAGGGAGAGAACATCTAAAATTGAATTATTAAATATAACATTTATTTAACACAGTCTTTACGACAAGTTCTACTAAGGTCTGACGATTCTTGCAACAACAATTCCAAGAATGGTTCATCATGCGCGCTAGGTAAGTTAGGTTAACAGATAAGAGGAGAAATAAATCAAAGCGTCTTCTTCTATGATAGTATGATAGTATGTGTTAAGGTGCAATATTTACGTATGCATCCTTGTAAAATGGCAAAAACAATATATTAATCAATAAATATATATAACATATTTATGTGCGATGTGGGTAAACGAATGAAAGAACATGGGATATTAGATGGAAATTCACCTTGAAGAAAGCATTAGATAGAGCTTAGAGAATTGTGATGCAAACCATTATAAATAATGAAACGAATTACATTTGGAACCTTATTAACATGCGCCCAAACGTACGATAAAACGAAGACAAAAGTATGCCTTCATTATTTATTTAATGGAACGAATTTCTCATACATACGCAATTATTTCTCACTTTCAGTTCAGTTAGACACAACTACGGGGGATTATTTTTCGGTTGAAGTAAAACTTTCTGAAATTATTTCTCAGTTTCGTTTCAGTTTGACACAACTACCAGGGATTATTTCTCATACATACGCAATTATTTCAAGGAAGAATTGAATTTGAATTTAGTAAATAAATTCATAAAAAAAAAGAAAACACATTCGAAAGACTGTTGTAATTACGTAGACTTATGCTTTTATGTGCGTATACAGAATAAAATTCCATAAGAACGGCGAATAAGCGATAGTACGGGTTCGTAGCAAACAAAAGATAAAAAAAGGGAGGAAGTAAGCGTTCCGTTCATACCAATTAACAAATGTTGTAACTTTACTGTCACTAACAAACTTTAGGTGCAACTTTCTAGTCGACTTTTCTTAGGGGCAATATTTCCCTATGGAGACCTCAACACCCTTTACTCTCTTGAATATCTTAAAAATGCAAACCTAATATAGTTTTAGGATTTAAAATTTTCCTTATCTTTTTTTCTTTGCAATTACAAGCTAAAGTGAATATTTATTTACAAAAAAAAAAAAAAAAAAAATACAAAAATACTTCTCTTTTGTATCTAGATAGGGAAAGAAAGCCATTCATAGTCTTGACCTCTTTTTCTAAAACATTAATCATCATTCTTTGAACTTACGTCTACTCTCCCCAACTTCCCCGCTTATCATACTAAGAGACTAAGAGGTAGACACGACACTTGTGTTTCGTGTCATTAAAAAAATATATAAATATTTACGTTTGAACGAAATGTAAAGAAAGAAAAAAAAACAAAACCACGCACTGTAAAGAAAGCAGTATCGCAGCAAGCGTACCAGAGACTTTTGTGTATTTGAAAGTAAATGGCAGACAAGAAAATTCTCTTCCATAGTAAGCGTGAAGCGTTTTAATGTTCTCGGCCGTGGATGCAAGTCTGGTTCGCTATATAAACACGATATATGCAAAGACGTCTTTCACATGTGCTCTGCTCTGCCTGAGGGCACTCTCAACCAACAACATTTGTTATACCAGCTATACCTGAGCTTAAAAGCCAAACACCAAGCACTCGTTCGTTGCATGCATGTAGCATGTGTTTTAGTTCAATAATAATAATAAAAAAAGTATGAATAAAACGTAACTTGTTACAAACAAAAAAAAAAAATAAGCATAATATGCTTACACACGAAAACCTTTCATACTTGAACACACATTACAACTAAAACTTGCTGCTTGCTGCTTGCTGCTTGCTGCTCAAAGAGAAGCATGCATTTGTATACCATCCTCACCATGGCCATCCATCCACTCATCTTTACACTTATTATTTGTCAATATAGTCAGTTTTGCAAACCCTCTCGGTCAGTCAATTTTATCACTTATGGGTTCCTCTTTTCGAGATTATTTATCGAGTTTTTTACCTGATACCTTCTCAAGGCAGTACGGAATAGAAATTTTGACGCTCTTGACACTCTTCAATGTGAAATATGTGCATTTATGAAGAGAGAGAGAAAACATCATCATATAGTTACGAGCGATGGGCGAACAGAACTCTTGTGAATGGAAAATCGATCGAAAGTTCAGAGCAAGATGCAGTCGAGTACGATAATGCTATTATTTGCAAAGATAGAATCTGACCAATTTAACTGAGGAAGTGACACAAAGCCTAAGAGCACATACAAATCGGCCAACAAACAGAGAACCTTTGCATTATTTTTTGCTGGAAAAGTCGTTAATAATATAATCTCCTCTCAGTTTCATTATCCTCCTTTTATCTTGTCTTACATTATATTATATTTGTATTGGTGAATTGCACATGCATC